AAAGAGGGAGAAGTGAAGAGGTAGGCGGCTATTAAAGAATGCAGGGCTTGGATCAAGCAAAGATCTGGGCCACATGAAGGATTTGGGGCTTTGTCTAACAGGTCACAGACATGGATGGATGGTTTGGAGTGGATGCTATAGACTGAATGTTTGAACCCCTGCCCAATTTCCTCTGTTGAAATCCTAACCCCCAGTGCAATAGTATTTGGAGGTGGGACCTCTGGGAGGTGATGAGGTCATGAGGGTGGTACCCTTGTGAATGGGATTAGTGCCCTTATAAAAAAGACCCCAGAGGCCAAGCACAGTGGTTCATACCTGTAATCCTAGCACTTTGGGAGGCCGAGGTGGGCAGGTTACCTGAGGTCAGAAGTTCCAAGACCAGCCTGGCCAACATGGCGGAACACCGTCTCTACTAAAAATACAAAAATTAGCTGGGCATGGTACATGCCTGTAATCCCAATTACTTAGGAAGCTGAGGCAGGAGAATTGCTTGAGCCTCGGAGACGGAGGTTGCAGTAAGCCGAGATCGCACCACTGTACTCCAGCCTGGCCAACAGAGTGAGATTCTGTCTCAGAAAAAAACAAAAACAAACAAAAATCCAGAGAGGTCGAGTGCAGTGGTTCGCACCTATAATCCCAGAACTGTGGGAGGCCAAGGAGGGCAGATCACCTGAGGTCAGGAGTTCAAGACCAGCCTGGCCAACGTGGTGAAATCCTGTCTCTTCTAAAAATACAAAAAAAAAAAATTTTGGCTGGGCATGGTGGCGGATACTTGTAATTCCAGCTATTCAGGACGCTGAGGTAGGAGAATGGCTTGAGCCTGGGAGGCGGAGGTTGCAGTGAGCTGAGATTGCGCCACGGCACTCCAGCCTGGGAGACTGAGTGGGACTCTGTCTCAAAAGCAACAACAACCACAAAAAGACCCCAGAAAGCTCCCTGCTCCTTCTGCCATGAGAGGATACAGTGAGAACATGCCTAACTGTGAACTGGGAAGCAGCCCTCACAGACACAGAATCTACTGATGCCTTGGTCTTAGACTTTTAGCCTCCAGAACTCTAAGAAATAAAGGTTTGTTGTGAAAGCCACCTAGGCTATGGTATCTTGTTATAGCAGCCTATACAGATATAGATTCGAATTTTAGAAATACTACTCGGAACTGAAGAAAAGACAGGGCAATGCATTTAAGAGACTTCTGTTTTTAAGAACTTCCCAGAATCACTGTGGGGAAGGAGGAAAGAGTCTGGCTGAACGTTCAGGAACAATTCCCAAAAAACTGAGCCAAGAAGGGAGCTGCTGCCTCTGGTGTGATCAGGAGGATCAGGAAGCTGTTCCACAACTGGTGTCCAGGCAGGTGGCTGCTGAAGTCTGCAGCCCGCAGGGTAGCCCGGGTCAGAGGGATGACAGCCGGGTCAGGGCCAGGACAGTGGGGTGTGGAGGGGCAGAGCATGAGTGGCTCAGCCAGGGGGAAGAATCTACAAAGTGACTTTGGGTGGAGATGTGGGAAAAGTAAGGGATGACACCCAGGTTTCTGGCATAAAGCACCAGGTGGGACAGTAGTGGCCGATCATGAAGACAGGAACAGTGGATTTCAGGAGTCAGAGGTATGTGTGGGCCATCTAAGGCACCAGCTGGAGTTAGGGCATAGACACAGTGAACTGAAGCCAGAGTGAGAGGGAATCCTCCAAGGAGGGAGCTCAGCAGGAAGAGGGGTGGTGGAGCAAGCCTGAGGATCATGGAAACACTCAGGACAGGGACAGAAGAAGCTTAGACCAGCGAGACTGGCAGAGAAGCAGCAGAGAGGGAAGACCAAGGAGAACGCAGCCACAGGAAATGGAGGAAACAGAAGTCGACAGTGTGAATTACTGCTGAGGGATCGATCGGCCAAGACAGGCACTGAGAATCCACAAAGAAGCTGACAGGGCCCTGCAGGGAGATGAGAGGGAAAGCGGGCAGGGAACACTGCGCTAAGCTCAGGAAGACAACAGTACCCAAGGGCCTTGCTGCGTTTAAACTGGAGCTCCTGGCCATGATTGTTTAAGGAAAAGAAAAAAAGAGAGAGAAAAAAAGAGAGTAATAAACATTGGAAGGAAGGAAATAAAGTATCAGTATTTGTATAAACATTCACATAGGTCACAGACTGATTCACAAAGCATCAATAAATTATTAGATGTAATTAGAGGTTAGCAAAGTTAATAGATAAAAGATCGACTTAAAAGAATCCGTATTTTTCCATGCCCGCAACAACTAGAAAATACGACAGAAAAATAAGGTACCATCGTAATGGCAACAAAAACTATAAAGTATTTAGGAACCAACTGAGGAAAGAATATGCAAGACCTCCATGGAGAAAAATGTTCAATTGTTATAAGAAGTAAAATGAGATCTGAATAAACAAGACATTCTATGACTTTAACTCTCCCTAAATTAAATGCAGTCTCATCATTGGCTTTATTATTATTACTACTTAGAAACTGAACCTTATTCCAAATGCATATGAAAGAATAATGGTGCACAAATAGCTAACTCTGCATTAAACTGAGAAAAAAGACAAGAGGAACTTGTTCTGTGAGGTAACAAACCTGTATAGCACTGGCATTCAGAACAAGATGAATGGGACAGAAGACGGGACAGATCCAAGTGCACAAGCAAACCTACTGTCTAATGAAGGCTGCCCCATGCGCTAATGAGGAAATAACAAATCCTTGCTAGTGGTTCCGTATAAGGAGAAAAAAGTTAAAAATCGATTTCCACCAAATACTATATATAGAAGTGAAGCCCAGATACATTAAAGACCTAAACGTGAAAGGTAAAACCATAAAGCAAATAGAAGAAAGTGTGGAAAAATATCTTTGTGACTTATGGAAGAAAAAGAATTCTTAAATGAAGACCTCAAGGCACAAACTTACATATATAATGTGTAAAACATTAAAAATTATCAAAATTCTGTTGTTTGTAGTAGATTCTTCCAGGTAACAAAGATAAAATGAGAAGAAATAACCATTCTTTTTTTAAAAAAAGAAAAGAAAAGATTTACTTTTTAAAAACGGGGTTTTGCCATGTTGGCCAGGCTGGTCTCGAACTGCTGACCTCAGGTGATTCACCTGCTTCGGCCTCCCAAAGTGCTGGGATTACACTCACGAGCCACCACGCCCAGCCAAGAAATAACTATTCCTTTTTTTTTTTTTTTTTTATAAAGACGGGGCTTCACCATGTTGGTCAGGCTGGTCTTGAACTCCCGACCTCAGGTGATC